AAACGCCTTCCACAAACAACGCTTTCCTTCTGAACGCTACATTTTTGTCCAATAGACCCCGGGGTCGACCCCATTTTGTCAATTTCCCNCCCTAACTTCCACGCTCCTTCCTCTTGCTTCCTCAACTAGTTGTTTGACTGCACTAGCGTTCTCTTCCCCGAGACGCGGGTGCACAAGAAGACTGAAGACATTGCACGCAGGGGACGCTCAGCACCCGTCCCCTGCTTTCTTTCGAATTCAACAAACGCCTTCCACAAACAACGCTTTCCTTCTGAACGCTACATTTTTGTCCAATAGACCCCGGGGTCGACCCCATTTTGTCAATTTCCCTTTTTTTTTTCTCAACGGGGCGAAGAGACCGCTGACATCATCAAGGCTGCTGTGGAACACACCCACATATTTCAACCACCGTCTCCCGTTCTCGACACACACACCTACCTCCTGGTATTTCCCACATGCACTCGAGTACACATGGTCGCATCCACACGCCACTCCCTTGCTCACACAAACCTTTCGTATTTCACAGCAGACCACCACACATCAGGGCTCTCATCGGTGACTGCTGTACGTGCTGGGCGTGAACTGGGGGGCTCGATCGAGAGAGGCAGACACATTGTCTTCACCCCGCACACTCCTGCTGCTGTCTGTGAACTGAACATGGGTATCCACATGGCATAGCTCTAGAAATATCACTGCTGTCCGCCCGCGGCCGAGGCAGCACACCCCGCCCGCGAGGCATGGTACCTCCTAACGTTCCACTTTCAGTGCTCCTTCGTGGGGAGCGACGAGACATGTCCACGCACGAAGAAATGTGACATCGGGAGAAAATCCGAAAAAACATCCAACCGTCGGCAGCACACCAGCAGCAGAAGCAGCAGCAGTAGCAGTAGCAGCAGGCCTCGCGGTATGACCTTCGGTTGAAAAGAGAAGCCGAGACGCACACGTAGAGGGGACCCGTCGAGAGGCATCGCAAGGTGGACCCTTACTCCTGTGCGCCAGGGATAACTTGGGCACAAAACGAAAAAAAAGTCTGTAGCAACCAACTGCTGTGTGTACGAATCGCAAAAAAATAGGGTTGGGTACTGGCGCTGCGCGCCAGTAAAAAGTATACTGGCTGCGTCAGCAGCCAGTAAACTGGATCCGATCAGTACACTGGTGGCGCGGCGAAGCCGCGCGGTCGCGGCGCAGCCGCGACCATCGGCCCCCCCCGGCTGGTGAGGGGGCCCCGCCGGAGGCGCCCCCGAAGAGCCCCGCTGGAGGCGCCCCGCCGGAGGCGCTTTTGTACGCGATTTGGCTTCACTAGAGCAAAAAAAATGAGTGATTTTGGCCCATCTGACAGAGGCACTATCGCGGGGAAACGATAGAAAGTTCGAGTTCAACGACTGAATTTGTTGGTTTTGGACATGAGGAAATATTGAAACATTATAATATTACTCCCAAGCAACCAAGTGGCATCCATCAGTTGGGTTGATGAGCGACGCTATCGTATACTGGACTCTACGAAGGACACAACGACACGGCTGCACGGCTGACGCAGCTGCTGCTGCTGCTGACGCAGCAGCCCCTGCATCATCAGCACCACTGCCGGGGTCTGCAGCAGACGGCGAGCTGGCAGGGGAGACTACAAACCTGTCCATTGTTGT